TCACTATAGGGCGCGTGCGCTCGCCAGAAAGACAAAGAGAGACAGAGAGACAGAAAGTGAGAAATCACCCCCCAGGGGAGATGACCACGCCGCAATCCCTTCTCCTCCATTCTCCTCTTGGGATCTTGGGCACACCCACACACAAACGCCTGGCATGAGTTTAAGCCACTGGGTCCAAGACTTGAACCACGGTCAATTACATGGGAGTCCAGCAATATAACCATTATGCTAACTGCTGGTCCCTGTCTCTCTGTTTTTCTGTCTTTCTGGCAAGTGCACGTGCCCTATAGCAAACAAACAAACAAACAAAACCGGAAAGTTGAGAAATGTATAAAGTAGGAATATGCATAATCTTATCCCTCAGAGGCAGTTAACAAATTAAATGCATTTCATTCTAATTTTGTTTTTAAAGGTTTTGCCATAGGGCACATGCACTTGCCAGAGAGAGACAGTGAGAAATCACCCCCCATCCCAGTGGTCATGCTACAATCCCTATTCTATTTTTCTCCTGGGATTTTGAGTACACACACATACGTGTGCCCGGCCCGATTCTCAAGTCACCAGGTCTGGGACTTGGGTGGTTGGCCACATGGGAGTCTAGCACCTTCACTACCATGCCACCTGTCGGCCCCCTTATTCTAATTTAGAGAGAAAAATGGCCACCTCCAACAGGGTCTCCCATACCACCCCCCGTCTCAGCCAGCACCAGATCATAGGTACATGTTTGCCCAGGCATGTGGGTCCAACTGCATGACGGCTGTGCCACCACCTGGACCCCCTTCTGGCCTCTGTATGCCATTTATTCAGTTTTACATGCCATTCCCAGTAACGGATCTTTCCTCCCATGACATTTACTTTTTTTTGGAGAGATGTTTGCTATAGGGAGTGTGCCCTGGCCAGAGAGACAGAAAGCAAGAAATCGCCCCCCATGCTGCAATCCCTTCTCCTCCTGGGCGTGCATGCATGCATATCTGGCCTGAGCTTTAAACCACTAAGTTTAGAACTGGAACTGAGGTCGACCTTGTGGGAGTCCAGAGACATAGCCGTTACGCCACCTGCTGGCCCCTGCGATGAATCTTGGTTAATTAGAGTAGATGGTTAGTATTACCAGTTTGTTCCACATTTCCTAGACGACTAGTAGAGGTAACTATTTTCTCAGAGCTGGCCCCGTAGCACAGTCAGATCCCACATGACTGACGATTCAAATCCTGGCCGCAGTGGCATGAAAAACACGACACGTGTGTGTGTGTGTGTGTGTGTGTGTGTGTATGCCCAGAATCCTGGTGGGAGGGAGGGATGGAGGAAAAAGGACTGCAGCATGACCACGCCCCAGGGGAGGTACTTTCTCTCAATGTCTCTCTCTCTCTCTCTCTCTGTCTCTCTTAAGCACACACATGCCCCTCTGCCAACAGTGTTTTTTCAATATTAGCCACTTATTCTTTTTTTTTGGGGGGAGTTTTTTATTTTGGTTTATTTATTTATTTATTTATTTATTTATTTTTTGCTATAGGGCGTGTGCGCTTGCCAGAAAGACAGAGAGGGACAGAGAAAAAGAAAGTGAGAAATCACCCACCAGGGGGATGACCATGCTGCAATCCCTTCTCCTCCTTTCTCCTCTCGGGATCTTGGGCACGCATGTTCTCCTCTCGCTGGGGCACGCATGCTCTTGTGCCTGCAATGAGTTTTAAGCCACCGGGTCCAGGACTTGAACCGTGGTCGGCTACATGGGAGTCCAGCGACATAGCCATTACGCTAACTGCTGGTCCCCCTTATTCTATCTTTTTAATGAATTCTCTAGTCATGTCTCTTTCTTCGTTTTCTTATCAAAGCCTGGCTGTCTTCGTATGAGCTCCATGTGCAAGAAATGCATCGACCATCTAACTATTTAATGTATCGCAAACATCTGCAATATGAATTGACAAATGACTTCTTGCTATTTTCTCATTCTTTGTCTTTTTAAATTTTTGCTGTAGAGCACGTACACTTGTGAGAGAGAGAGAGAGAGAGAGAAAGAAAAAGTGAGAAATCACCCCCTGGGGAGCATAGACATGCCACAATCCCTTCTCATCCATTTTTGTCTTAGGGTGTGGGGCACCCATGCCTGGTGTGTTTTCCAAGTTGCCAAGTCCAGGACTCGAACCATGCAATCAGCCATGAGGGACTGCCTCTGTGCCCTCTGGTTGCCCTATTTTCTCTTGGTAAATATGACTTATCTTCCTCTTGGGGTTTGAACTTGGCCGTCACTGTGGTTATTCAAGTAGCCTACCTGTGCATTTGAGCGAGAATCTTCTTTGCTGGTCTTTGGTGGTATCTTTGTGCCTACGTTAATAAAACAAAGCAAAATAAAAAAGTCATACGTCAGATGTGAAGACCATCAGGTATTAAATACACCCCTGGGAGGGGGAGGGCATGAAACGCCTGGATTCAGACCAGTCTCTCACAAGCTGGCTGCGGAACCCTGCCCCACAGCCCCCTCTGGGCCCGTCTATGGACCCGTGGAGTGAAGCTGGCTATGGAACCCTGCCTGCAGCCCCCTCTAGGCCTGTTTATGGACCCGTGGAGTGAAGATGGCTGTGGAACCCTGCCTGCAGTCCCCTCTAGGCCCGCCTATGGACCCGTGGAGTGAAGATGGCTGTGGAACCCTGCCCCGTAGACCCCTCTGGGCCCGTCTATGGACCCGTGGAGTGAAGAGTGCCACACGACTGCCATCCTCTAGAGTCCATTTCTGCTAAGTCCTTGCCATCTCTTGGGGCTGGCTTCATGATGCAGAGGTGAGATGCTGCTCAAGAGAAGCTGGATCCGACATGCCCATGCCTGAATCCCCCGCCTGGCCAGAATGAAACACACCGGGCCTGCCCGGTGAGGCCCAGAGTGGAGAACTGGAGGAAGAGTACAGCGTGGTGACCAGACCCTGAGGACGTGCTCCTCTCTCTCTCACATGCATGTACATGAATAAAGAAAAAGAGAAGGGTCTAGCAGGTGGCGTGATGGTTGGGGCACTGGACTCCCATGTGGTCAACCACGGTTCAAGTCCAGGATCTGGTGGCTTGCTTTCTCCCTTTCCCTCTCTGTCTCTGATGACTACAGCAAGTTAAAAAAATTAAATAAATAAAATAATTAAAAAGAAAGAGAAAGAAAGAAAAGAGAAGAGAAGAGAAGAGAAAAAAGAAAAGAAGAAAAAAGAAAAGAAAAGGAAAGGAAAGGAAAGGAAAGGAAAGAAAGCCGGGGCCATCAGATGGCACAGTGGTTATGTCACTGTACTCCCACATGGCCGATGGCAGTGTGAGTCTTAGATCTGGTGGCTTGAAAATCACACTGGGTGTAAGTGTGCGTACGTGCCCAAGATCCCAGGAGAAGAATGGAGGAGAAGGGATTGTGGCGTGTCCATCCCCTTTGGGGAGTAATTTTTCACTTTCTCTCTCATGGTCTCTGTCTCTTTTTCTCTTGGGTGAGTGCATGTACCCTATGACAAAACCGCTTTAAAAAAAAGAAAAGGATAAAACAGCCTTTGCCATTGAAGCTACTGCCAAGTACCCAAAACAGCAAAAGTAACTCTTGGGAAGATTACATAGGGACCAGTAGTTGGCATAATGGCTATGTCACTGGACTCCCATGTAGCCGATCGCGGTTTGAGTCCTGGACCCAGTGGCTTAAACTCACGCCAGGCACATGTGCGCGCGTGCCCAAGATCCCGAGAGGAGAATGGAGGAGAAGGGATTGTGGCGTGTCCATCCCCTTTGGGGAGTAATTTTTCACTTTCTCTCTCATGGTCTCTGTCTCTTTTTCTCTTGGGTGAGTGCATGTACCCTAAAGCAAGAAAAAAAAAAAAGAAAAAAAGAAAGATAGACTACAATAATGACTGCCTCAGACAAATTACTATCTATATTTTTATTTCTAAATTTTTATTTGTTTATTTTTGTTCAATTGCCAGAGGGCACATGTACTTCCCAGAGAGACAGAGAGATAGAGAGAGGGAGAAAGCACTCCTCAGAGGGCGAGATCACACCACAATCTGTTCTCCATTTCTCCATCCCATCGGGATCATGGGCAGCACACATCTGGGGTGTCAAGTTGCTGGGGTTGGGATTCAAACTTCTCAGGTGGCCATGCAGGGTCCGCTTAGGCCATGGGGCCAACACCACTAACTCCTAGTATTTTTTTTTTTTTAAAGAGGTTTTTACCTCAGGGCAGATGTGCTCACTAGAGAGAGACAGAAACAGTGAGAGGGAAAGTGAGAAATCACCCCCCCCCAGGGGGGATGGCCATGCCACAATCCCTTCTCCTTCATTCTCCTCCTGGGATCTGAGCACACATGCACCTGTTATGAGTTTCAAGCCACCAGGTCCAGGACTCAAACCATAGTTGGCCATGTGGGAGTCCAGGGACGTAACTACTATGCCATCTGCTGGCCCTGTAGATTATTACACAGCCTAGGTATTATCCTTTTGTTTGGTTTACCTGAATTAGGACATGACTTTTTTTTTTTCAGAATTATTTTATTTAACTTACTTTCTCTCCCACTTTTCCTTTCTTATTCTTTCTTTTAATTGGACTAGAGAGGGACAGAGTAAAAGGGTGGGGGGAGTGAGAATGCAAGTCGCCAGGTCCAGGACTCAAACCATGGCTGGCCATGTGGGAGTCCAGCACCCTTACCCACCACGCCACCTGCCAGCCCCAGGGCATGACATATCACCAAGCCGTATTCTCGATACTCACCTGGAACACTTGCACCAACAGTTGGATAATCCTCCACGAGGTCCACGAAGTCCAGGGGGAAAATCCCGGTTCTGCCTCGCAGTTCTCCTCTGGCCCACTCCTCACTGACGTACTCTTTCAGGGTAATGATTTCTCCCTCTGAGAAACTTAGCTCATCCTTCTGGTCTCCAATGTATTCGAACCGAGCAACGCATCTCGAGTCTCTGAGCAAGGAACACGTTTGTGGGTTAGACTCGAGAGTACTCACTTCTAACACGCTTTCAACCCTTTATTCCATCTTTTGATAAATAATTTATTCTGTATTTACTATGGAACAAAAGATTCTAGGCTAATTTAAAAAAACAGTAAGTAACATTTTTTTTTTTTCTGTTTGTTTTTGAGATAGGGTACATACGCTTGCTGGGGAGACAGAGACAGACAGAGACAGAAAGCCAGAAATCGCACCCCAGGGGGTATGGCCACGCCACAATCCTTTCCCCATTCTCCTTTTGGGCACACATGTACACGTGCCTGGCATGAGTTTCAAGCTGCTGGGTTTAAGACTTGAACCACAGCCAGCCATGTGGGAGTCCAGTGCCTTAACCACTAAACTACCGCCTCGCCCCAAGTTACACTTCTCAAGTGACACTACTTTCACAATTCACTCGGCAAGATTCAAGCGCAAGGTCACAGGACACATCCAGGATTCAAGCGAGGCAGCTGGGAGGAGAGCTCACGCTGCCACGTTGTTTGATCTGTACTTCACTGCGGAATCTCCCCAGCCTCGGGCTTGTGTCCTTGCCACACGCCCGTGGCCCAGCCTGAGCCCCTTCAATCATACGTGCATTGCGTCTGGGAGTGCTGGGGCTGAGCCTCAGGACGAGACACCAAATGTCCTGATCAAGAACCGGAGCAGGACACAGCGGATGTCTGCTGAGCGAGCCCGTGATCCACAGAGCTGCATCAGTCAGTGTGCTGAATAGGTTGAGGAGTGGCCTCAACACCAGGAGGTCTGGCAAAACCAGACATTCGGCCTGTAATAACACACGATCTCATACCTAATTCTGTTGCTTTTATTTACTTACTTGTAATTTTTCCAGAGGAAGTAAGTTCTTGCCAGAGAGAGATGGAGAAACAGAGAGAGAGAGAAAGAGAGATGGAGAACACCCTTCCCAAGGGGCATGTCACGCTGCAACCCCTTCTCCTCCATTTCTGCATCCTGTAGGGATCCGGGGCATGCACAGGTGTCTGGCTTGATTTTGAACTGCCAGGGCTGGGATTTAAACTGTGGCCAGCCACGTGGGATCTGGTGTCCTTAACCACAAGACCATGGGGCCAGCCTCTGTCACTTTTTAAAATGATTTTTTGGGGCCAGCAGGTGGCATAGAAGTTAAGGCACTGGATTCCTGTGCGGCCATCTGTGATTCAAGTCCTAGACCTCGTGTCGTGACTTACACTGGGCATGTGTGCGTGCGTGCCCAAAATCCAGACAGCAGGAAGGATTGCGGTGTGCCCATTACCCTTGGGGAGTGATTTCTCATATTCTCTCTCTGTGTCTCTGGCAAGCACACACACCCTACAGCAAAAATCTCTCTCTAAAAAAAGTAAATAAAGATTTTGTATCTCCTTTAAAAAGGTCTCCTTTCTTTTTTTTTTGGAGAAGTTTTTGCTATAGGGCGTGTGGGCTCACCGGACAGACAGAGAGAGACAGAGAGACAGAAAGTGAGAAATCACCCCCCAGGGGGATGGCCATGCCATAATTCCTTCTCCATTCTCCTCTTGGGATTTTGGGCACGGATGCACATGCGCCCGGTGGGAGTTTAAGCTGCTGGGTCCGGGACTCGAACCATGGTTGACTACATGCGAGTCCAGCAACATAGCCATTATGCTAACTGCTGGTCCCAACATGCTGCTTTAAGAATAGGAGAGAAACAGCCTGAAACGGAACCCGGCTGTCGTGGCCTCGGTTTTCTGATCTGTGATAACCTTTGCGTGTGTTTTCTCAGGTCTTCCGGGAGCTTCTCCTTCTGTCTGACCTATTCACAGACAGGTTTACAGTCCTCAGCAGGCAGTGAATTCTATTAATTTGCTCATTTAACTACAATATAAAGTTGCATGGTGGCAGTGTGCTAAATCACAAAGGAGTTACAATGACATCTGAAAGGGTACACAAATTCACAGAAAGGTCCTCAGAATAAAGAAGACCCCTTCACCTTAACTCTTCCTTTCCCTTCTTCAAGTTCTTAAAAATAAAAACGGTCTAGCAGTTTGGGTAGGGTCCATTTATCTTTTTTTTTCTTTCTTTTTCTTCGATTTTTGTTATAGGGCACGTGTGCTCACCAGAGAGCGAGCGAGAGAGAAAAAGAGAGAGAGAGACAGAGTCAAAGAGAGGGAGAGAGAGAAATCACTCCCTAGGGGGATGGCCACACCACAATCCCTTCTCCTCCTGGGATTGTAGGCACGTATGCACATGTGCCTGGAGTGATTTGTAAGCTGCCAGATCCAGGACTTTAAACCACGGTCAGCCGTGTGGGAGTCCAGCACCTTGACCGCTACACACCCTGCTGGTCCCTCTGGGATGCGTATTTCTATAGGATTTAAATATTTTCCACAGCAAAAACATTTGGGCCCTCTAATAACTTATTGGTAAACACCAGAAGGCCCCAAACAAAATACACTGGACACCGAAGCCCTCTCTGCCCCACCGAGCCTGGCTGGGGGAGGTGTCAGGGTGGCCTCTGCTTTGTCGCTGTCCCAGTGTCCTGTGGAATGCGGCTGAGGGCAGCTCTTGTCAGCACACGGCATCACATCACAATCTTAATCCACTATTACATTTTTGTTTTTTTGTCACAGGGCACATGTGCTCACTGGAGAGAGAAACAGAGAGGGAGAGTGAGAGAGCACTCTTCCAGAGGGGATGGCCACACCACAACCATCTTTCCTCTGTTCTCTTCTTGAGTCTTTGGGCACGCAAGCACACACCTGTTGGGACCATGCAGTTAACACAATGGAGCATGGCTCCTGGCGCGCGCGCACACACACACACACACACTCACACACACACACAGTGCGTTTTCAGGCCTACGGGCCTGGGACTCGAACAGTGGGGCCGGTCGTGTGGGACCCAGCGCCTTCACCACCACACCACCTGCTAGCCCCTCACTATTACTTTTTAAACAAGCGAGGTTTTCCTCACAATGAGAAAGACACAGAGAACCTGAGTGGTCACGCGTGTTTGGTAATCTCTCATGCTGGGAACACGTGGCTCCTTTGCGTCGTCAGCCAGGCATCGTTTAACTGCATGGCTTCTTCCGAGACACGCGCTGTCAGGTGACTCTGCTGCAGTGCTCACATCGCAGGGTGTCCCCCACACACCGAGGCGGCAGGGCCCACCGTACGCCCAGGCTACACGGGCTGCCTAACATACATGGCCATCCTAGACAGAAGCGTCTCTCTGTGGGCCACGACTGTGTTGAGTGAAGGACACAGAAAACACTTACTTAACACGGTGAGCGGAATCTGCTTCTCTTTTCCCATTTCCTCCTTCTGGGATGTCAATCTAGGAAGACACGATGAGGTAAGGGTTGCCGTTTTCCAGGTTCTCGTACAACACACACAAGGTTACGCAATCAGGACAGCGTGACTGCCACCACCCAGCTTGCGCCGGTGCTGAGGTCAGTGAGGGCGACGCAGGCGCGCAATGCAAGAAACCCTGCATGCGGGTTTGGAAGAACACGTGTGACAGTGACGCGGCCTGCCCAACGCTGATCGACCGTTCTCTTATTTGGAGGGAAGAAACACACAAGCATCTCTTCACCGATACTGGAGTTTTCTACACCCCACGTCCCCCGGGCGACAGGCCTCTCCCTGTCACCCGTCAGCACCACAACTACAGAAAGTGTGATGAGGCCCTATAATACTTCCTTGACTCTGAAATAAAAGACCTAAATGAAACTTGCGGGTTCTTTTCTCCTGATTCATAACTCGGGCACCTTTTCTGAATTCGTACTCAGTGAGTACCTGCTAAGTGGCGAGCGCTTTATAAACACCTGTTTACAGGGCTTGGCAGAGCCGGTTGTAATAAAATATGTGGCCATCGCACATGCAGTCTGAAACGGCTTAAGGCTTCGAGGTTTCTCTTAAATCAATCAGTGCTCTTGATGAATTCTGAAAGTCCAGGTTTTTTTTTTTTTTTTTGGAGAGGTTTTCGCTATAGGGCGCATGTGCTTGCCAGAGAGACAGAAAGCGAGAAATCATCCCCCGGGGGAATAGCCATGCCACAATCCCTTCTCCTCCATTCTCCTCTCAGGATCTTGGGCATGCACGCACGCACGCATGCACATGCGCCTGGCGTGAGTTTAAACCACGGGGTCTGGGACTTGAACCAGTCGACTACATGGGAGTCCAGCGACATAGCCATTACGCCAACTGCTGGTCCCCTGAACGTTCAAAGTTTTCAAACAACTTTTAAAACTGGAGGGCTTAAAAGTCACACTTGTGCGACAATGTTGGGGCTTCAGGGTGACTGACTTCTGTGTGGTAACTGTGCTTTGTAAAATGTCTCCCACTAGGCAGAAGAAAAATGAGAAAGAGCTAAAACCAACATTATCCTTAATATTATTTTAGAGAATATGGTTGAATTTCTCTAAAGAATCAGGGCATGTACACACTGAACCATTTTTAAGACCTACATTTTATAATCCAAAAGACTCATACTCCTTTTCTATTTGAAAAACAGATTTTCTGCTATACTTGTTTTCTAAGTTTCCTATGTAATGGACAATCAGTTGCCTTTTTTCTTAACAAGTTCCTAACGCTGAACTGTTTAAGCTAGCTTTATTGATAGTTCACAGGATCACTGTACCAGGGACAGAGTCACATTTTTTCTACTGATACAAACGTTTGAGGGGCAGTCAGGTGCCACCCTCGTGCCTCACAGCCATCTGAGTTCAGTGGGCGAACTCCAACACACGGTTATGTAAGCTTCCCCCACATGGCAGGCCATGAGCGTGTATAGAATTCTGATGCTTTCATCTAACTTTTCCCAGATTTGAAATTATGTGAAAAACCATCCGTGGGTCCTTAGCTCCAATAAAAGTACTTCAGTTATCCTCAGATCACTGTTTTAAACAAGACGGCAATAAACAGGAGCGGAAAAGATGAAACAACGCGAAATTAACATGCGTCCCTAGAAAAGGAGAAGAAGTGCCATAACCTCAGAGGACGTTCGGTCAGGACAATCCGGCACCACTTCGTTCGTGAAATGTCTCCGAGGATTAACACACACCCCGAAGTGCCCAAGAATCCTCCAAGAAAAGACCTGTGCTGGCCTCTCACTTGAGGACTGCAGACGGCACGGGGCACTTACTCCCACACCCCATAACGTAATGCTTGTCCCCCGTACCTAGTGGAAAGTGTCTTTATTTTTGTGTCTTCCCTAAGTGCCAAATGAGTAGACGAAAGAGAAAGTACTAAGATGCAGGAATCTAGGCTTTGGCTCTGTGTTCCCGCCTGCAGTCACACGTGACCAGCGGAGGTAAGCATGGCCCACTTACAAGGACTCTGACGTAATTGGCAGGGAACATGCCCGTCTGGTTTCTACACTTCCCCCTGTACCAATCTGCGTCGATCTTTTCCAGAAGATAAACTGTTTCTCCAGAAGTGAGGCTCAAATCATCAGCTTGCTCTGTAAAATAAAATTCATTATGGAGGATGAGTTATCCTGGTTGTAGATTTAAGAGAGAACACAGAGTAGCATTTTTTGTCCACTGAGGCAATATATTCTGCTGACTCTGAGAATATGTTATACTAACCGATGACTTTAAAAAATTATTTACTTAATTTTGTTATTCTTATGTATTTTTTTAATTTGACCAGAGTCAGAAGAAGAGAGAAAGCAAGCCACCCGGTTTGAGAAAGCAGCCACATGGGAGTCTAGTACCTTAACCACCACAACTGCCTGCCAGCCATTCAATGACTTTTTAAAAAATACTGTTCTTGGGACCAGCAGATGGCATAATGGTTACGTCGCTGGACTCCCATGTAGTCAGCCATGGTTGAGTCCCAGACCCAAAGGCTTAAAACTTATGCCGGGTGTGTGTGTGCATACGTGCCCAAGATCCTAAGAGGAGAATGGAGAAGAGATTGTGGCATGGTCACTCCCCTTGGGGTAATTTCTCTCTTTCTGTCTCTCTCTGTTTCTGTCCTTCCACTGAGTATATGCTCACTATTGCAAAAATCTTCAAAAAAAAAAAACCCAAAAAACCAAAAACAAAAACTCAAAAATCCTGTTCTTTGGGGTCAGAGGGTAGTGTGGTGGTGAAGGCACTGGATTCTCACATGACCAACTGTGGTTCAAGCCCTGGACCCGACGACTTGAAATCATATTGGGTGGATGAACATGCACGGTCAAATCCCAACGGGAGAATGGAGGAGAAGGGACTGCACTGTGACCATGCCTCCAGGGGTGGAGTTCTCCCGTTCCCTCCCTCTGTCTCTCTCTCTGTTGCTCTCTGCCAAGCGCACACACCTTATGGCAAAAACAAGAACAAAAACAAAAACATACTGTTCTTTGGATATAGTCGTTATGAACTCCCTCTTTTAAGACCAAATTAGAGTATTTACCACGCATTGATTGATGGGACGTGATTAAAAATAAGCCATTTGCTAGCCAACGATTCCTACTGTGCCAATACAAACCCCTCACTTATATACATTGACTAATGAATGGCTTTTATATGCATGGTATAATATTATTCTCGGTCATGCCTGAAAAATCATTTTACTTTATAATATTAACTAAGGGAGTTCTACAGCTCTTTAGTAAGTAAATTTACACACACTAAAATAAAAATCAGTTTATTATTTTTTCTTTTTTTGGAGAGTTTTTTTGTTATAGGGTGCGTGCGCTCACCAGAAAGACGGAGAGAGACAGAGAGACAGAAAGTGAGAAGTCACCCCCCAGGGGGGATGGCCACACCGCAATCCCTTCTCCTCCATTCTCCTCTCGGGATCTTGGGCATGCACTCACGCCGGGCATGAGTTTAAGCCACCGGGTCTGGGACTTGAACTGCGGTCGACTACATGGGAGTCCAGTGACATAGACATTACACCAATAAAAATCAGTTTAAAAGTGGATAAAGAGGTAGTAAATAAATCAGGAATTTATTTGTTGCCTTAAATATAAAGGGTATGAGGGAACTTCAATAAGTTTACAAAAGAATGGGATTAAAGTACAAGATCATTTTGGTGCAAAAAAATTGAAATCCATACATAGTTTTTTTTTTTTTTAAATACTATGCATTTTCCATGAACTTTTGGAAGGCCCCCTCATATTTAAAAAGTGACTACAAAAAAAGTATGTGTGTGTGTGTGTGTGTGTGTGTATGTATATATATATATAAGTTTTTTTTTTTTTTTAAGTTTTTTGCTATAGGGTACATGTGCTCACCAAGGAGCCAGAGAAAGTGAGAAATCATCCCCTGGGAGGATGGCCATGCTGCAATCCCGTCTCCATTCTCCTCTTAGGATTTTGAGCATGTACACACACACATGTGCCTGGCATGAGTTTTAAGCCGCCAGGTTCAGGACTTGAACCATGGTTGCCCATGTGGGAATCCAGTACCTTAACTCCAATGCCACCTGCTGGCCCCTAAACTGGTATTTTTGACCTCAAAGTAAGTATTAATAGCAGCTGAGACAACTCTGAAGCCAAGGTACTTCACTTATTACCTAAGTACTCCACTGCAGGTGTTCATTAGCAGCCACTGTTCTGAAAGAGTTACAAAGTTTGCAACAGGTCTGCGATCGGCTGCTGTCCACCTGCTAGGGGGACATACCCTGTCTCTCACTCTTCCTCGCAAAGAATTTCAAAGGCAAGGGTATGTGCTCTGCTTTCTGGAATGGCTAGATACAAGCGACCCTCCTCGAATGTGGAGTGACGAGTAAGAGACAAGCTCTCCAGCCTAGGATAGTACAGCCACAGACATGAAGGAGGACATCGCGGGGAGGTGAACTCAGCGGGGAAGCCGGCTTCTGGATTCCGTGGCTCTGCCACTTCATTACTCACGGCTTACCTGCTGGAAAATCATGAAGAACGACAGCGTGGGGAATGCCGGTGTCAACAGGCTTCTGTGTGTGGCTTGGAGCCTTAGGGGAGAAGACAGAGCTGTGAATGACATGTACGCGGTAGATGCTGGATTAACTATTCACTCTGAGACTCATTTGTTTTCTCATTCGAGTCCTCCTGACACAATTACATTATGAGTGCAAGATGTGAATCACACAGTTGAACCAAACAACGGAATCATTATCAAGTGGAAAAAGAAAGTGTCCTTGCCAAGGGAGGACAGAAATAACTCTCAATTATGATATCTCTCGGCATGGTGGTGTTTTGTCCTTTTAAACCAAGAGAGTAAAACAAAAGAGAATGGCTTGCTTGCTTGTTCGTTTGTTTATTTATTTATTTAAAACAGTAGTGAACCAGCAGATTGCATAGTGGTTATATCATTGGGCTCCCCCTTGACTGACTGCAGTTTCAGTCCTGGACTTGGTGGTTTGAAAATCACACCAGGTGTGTGTGTGTGTGTGCTACCCAAGATCTCAGGAGAAGGGACTGTGGCGTGGCCATCCTCCAGGGAGGTGATGTCTCACTTTCCCTCTCACTGTCTCTGTCTCTCTATCCAGCGAGCACATGCACCCTATGGCAAAGAGCTCTAAAAACAACCATCAAAAAAAACCAGTAGCTAGTCTATGCTCAAGTAGCGGTTTTGACCTCTTCCCCTCCCAAGGGTAGCTTTTTCCTCAAACTGTGATAGGATTAAACTCTTAAGGATAGAGCCATAAAAGCAGTGTCTTTATTAGGATGAGAAAAGAAGAAAGTTCTGCGATTTATGCTCTTGCCTTTTGTAATAAAAGGAGCTAATGACTTCCCACAAAAGTATAATTCACAAAAAGTAAAATCCATTTCATTTATGACCACTTAACTGAATGCCTTCTCTAATTTGAAAGCAATGCCACCTCTCATGGCTGGTGTGGACTTTCTATTTAATCTGAATGGTTTATTCAACAGTCATTCTAAATAAATTAGCAAAGAGAATCTAATATTCTCTACCCATCAAGCCAATTGCCTAGACTGGGTAAAGATATTAAAAGTTGAAAAGTAACCTTTTCTCATTGACAAGCTGGTGCGATTCTTAGTTCCTGTTTTTCTACAGTGGCAAAGGGCCGCCCCCCAGCCCCCAGTGGGGCGTGCCCACACTGCAATCCGTTCTCCATCTCTCCATCCTGTTTTCAGCCAAGCATGCACAGGGGCCTGGTGTTTTTCAAGCTGATGGGGCCAGAACTGGAACTGTCGTTGGCTATGTGGGATCTGATCCCCTCAACCGCTAGGCTGCTGGGATAGGCTCATTCTTAGTTTCTTTATAGAAAGAGACGGGCTTGTCTCTTTCTATAAAGGTACAGGGAGCATCTGATTACGGCCTAGAACTCTGCAATGCATACATGCCTGGGAGGTAACGAAGCAGATTTCTGTGCTCCTTCCTGCCTCCTTACCCCCTTAGAGGTCTCTGACACTCATGTCTCTCTGCCCCTCAGAGGCCCTGGGCACGGTGCCCATGGTGACTGGGCTGCAGCGTGAATGCTGGCACACTCTCGCTGGTTCCACCCAGCCGCACCTTTGCTCAGATCTCTTCGGAATCTCACCTGCTTCTCCAACCAAAATGTCCCAGCAGAAGCAAACGGGATTCTCTCGAGTTAGATAAACTGAGACAGAACTTGAGTGCGGGCAGGGCTGGCTGAAGCAGCTCAGTGTTAGCTTGCCAGGGTCACACTGGCCTTTCCTCGTGGGCCACTCAATGCGTTTTCCTAAATACATGAGCCACACAGGCACTTCGGGAGTGGTGGGCTATCTTAAGTTTAGTGGGACCAGCAGTTAGCGTAATGGCTATGTCTCTGGACTCCCATGTAGTCAACCGTGGTTCAAGTCCCGGACCCAGTGGCTTAAACTCACGCCAGGCGCATGTGCATGCGTGCCCAAGATCCCGAGAGGAGAATGGAGGAGAAGGCATTGTGGTGTGGCCATCCCCCCGGGGGGTGATTTCTCGCTTTCTGTCTCTCTGTCTCTGTCTTTCTGGCGGGCACACATGTCCTATAGCAAAAATCTCTTAAAAAAATAAAATACCTATTTAGTGCCATTTATTGTAGTTGTGGTTTTCATTTCCCCCTCATTTACCTCTGTGGAGAAAGAACTACTTTATAACGGCATTAGGCTAGATGGCTCTCCATGCCGTCAGAGTCCTAGCTCACGGCACGCACAGACGCAAGCCACCAGATGGAGCACGGATGCAAACATCACCCAGCCTGGAGAGAGGGCATGGCAACTTGTGCCTCCCTACTGCACAGCGCCCCTTCTCTGCCTTCACCGGAGGGGCACCCATACGACGCTGCACCTTCCTGGGCTGGTAGGTGCAGGCGGGAGGAGCAGGCGAGAGCTGCCCACGGGAGGTCAGTCCAACCCTGGCCACGCCGTCAGGTAAATCCAGCGGAAAGTGACGTTCTTTCCAGAATGACCGGGACCCGTAATGCACAGTACGGAACTGAGAACAGCTCATTTTGCTGCTCACCCACCACGTGCTACTCACCGAGCTGCACACCTTACAGCGTCAGCACACGCATGGTTAAACAGAAATGTAAGGCACACACACTAACGCTGCCTGACCAAGCACATGCAGTGTTAGTGCATCCACTGCCTTCCCTGGGCAGCCTCACCACGGTCTAGGCTTAGAAGCGCT